ATTAAAGTTATTATAATTTATATAAGACCAGTAACTTAATGGCATAAAAAGGATAATTTATTAATTTATTCAACTATAGCATATTTAAACATCTTTTTAAAAAATTAATAAATATTTAATAATTTATAATTATTAAATATATAATTAGCACTTTTTAGTGGCCCAGTAGCATATAATCTATCCAGGTTTTTAAACGCAAGGGATTACATGTTGTACTAATAAAATATTAAAATTTAATACAAACTGTAAATTACAGGGAACTACAGGCAAACCTAAAGGCGCTTACCTGTCACATTTTACTGCTGGTTAGTAAAATAGCAAAGGTTTTATTATTATTCAATTTTACTAATCTTGTTAAATAATATTTAATCATGTAGTTAATAATGCGATATTATGCGGCAAAGCCTACGATGTGGACCTTGGTGACAAAACATTTTGCAATCCCTTACCCTTTTTCCATGCGTTTGGCGGTATGCTGGGTAATCTCGGCATGTGTGGTGTCCCGTTTAAAAACGGTATGTTAATTTAATGTACCTTGGAAACTCTAAATTAATATATTGGTCTGATTAATATAATTATCGTTTTACCTTGAATAGTAATTCCAAACTTCTTTTATAACGTGAAACTTGTTGTGAACGCAATCAACAAGCACCAGTGCACCTACCTAATTGGCACGCCTACTATGATTATTGATATACTGGATTATTTGGAAACTAATAATATTAAACTGGATTCATTGAAAGGTATTAACACGGGTGGGTCATCCATGCCCATTAATGTGGCACATAGGGTGCATAAAATTATACCTACCTGCACCGATGTCCGGGTCGCTTATGGTGCCACTGAAGCCGGTATGTTATATTTTATTTGAAATAATGCTCAGTTTATTAATTTTTAACATGTTTAGTAGAAGATTGTTATGAATTGATCTAAAACTATAATAAATAATAAATTTATACTTTAATTTAGTAGAAATTAATTAACAATAATTAAATCGGCAAAATGTAACACTTAACTAGTCTAACTTTACTTAAATACTTTTATTAAAATTTTTACATTTTTAAATATAATTTTATACTGTACAAATACAATTAAATAAAATCTGTATACAATTAATAATAATTTAGATATTACGGCTATGTTCTGTGATTTAAATCAAGATTAATATTTATATTACTCATTTTGCTACCAGGCACATTTGGCACTGTATCATACCAATCGGATAGTGCTGAAAACCGCATGGAAACAGTCGGTAATGAAATATATATAAATTTTTATGAAAATTCAAAAATTATAAATACTAGTACATGTTCATAAAAATAGGCCGACCCTTTGATCACATGGAAACTAAAATTGTTAACACAACTACCGGTGCTATTGTCAAAATTGGTGAAACAGGTATATTTAGTAATTAAAATAAAATTATTTTTGTTAATACTTTTGTAATAAAATTGATCAGGGGAACTCCTATCCAGGGGACATAACCAAATGATTGGCTACTGGAGGGATGAGAAAAATACCAGGGCTGCCATTGACAGTAGTAATTGGTATAAATCTGGGTCAGTTTATTATCTAAATTATTTATTATAAATCTTAACGGAGACTGTAATTTAATTAAATAATTAAATTATAATAATTTCTGGATATGTTTATTTAATATTTTGGAATTCAACATGGTTATTTAACTTATAGTAATTTATTTTTATTTTCTACTTAAGGCTAGAAACTGTAATACAAATAATTATACAGTATTAATTTATTACAAATAGGTCTAATTAATACAATCGGATTTATTACCACTACTTATAATTATTTGTAATTTTTACACCTTTAGTGACCTGGCCACAATGGATGAGCATGGTTACATCAAGATTGTTGGTCGCACTAAAGAGATGATTATAAGGGGCGGCGAAAACATATACCCCCGAGAAGTGGAGGAATTGCTGCACAAACACCCGGATATACTCGACGCATACGTCAGTATAGTCTGAGACTTTGTTACATACTTATTGAGCGCCCCATTCATGACCATTAGGTGTGTGGAGTACCAGACCATAGGACGGGTGAAGAGGTGTGCGCTTGGATTCAACCCAAGGATCCCAACAGAAAGCCTACAGAAGCCGAGATCCGGGAGTTTTGCAAACAACGGGTAAATTAGTTATTATTATTACTTCGTGTCGAATAAACTGTAAATTATTTGCAATTATTTATTTTAATTAATTATATAATTTATCTTTATAAAATTGGCATTTGCATGGGACTGTCTTAATTGCCAAACCCGCCATTGGCATATAATTAATTTAGATGAATGACTATATTTATTTTTATTTAATGCATTTTGTGATTTTATTTTTTAGATAACCTATTTCAAAGTACCCCGGTACGTGCTGTTTGTGGATAAGTTCCCGTTAACACCGGCGGGTAAAGTGAAAAAGTTTGTGATGAGGGAACAGTCGTGTCGTATACTCGGGTTGAATGACAAATAATTCATAAAAATATTTTTACATTAAATTACAACATTGTATAAATTATAAAACCTATTTTATAATGATGCTTTTATAGTCTAGATTTATATTTAATCTAATAAAATAATTACTAAAATCAGTAAAATCTTATATAGATTATTAAGTAAGAAATATTATGCATGTTTCTGAATTGTTAATTTAATTTGTTTTATATAAAATCAAACTGTAAAAATAAATTATTGTAAAAATGTATTGGTATTAATATATTTTACTATTACATTTTGGTCTAGAACAGAGGTCCATGAATTTATTAATAAAACATATAATGTAATAAATATAGTTTTTTATTTTCTATTAAATTTAATACATTTAATAATTAAACATTTTTGAAAAATAATCTAAAAGTTTGGTTAAAATTTACGATTAGATATTAAGTGCAAAATTCAAAAATATTACATAATATCAAGACATTGACATTAGCTATGACTTACAATTTATATGAACCGATAATATTTGACAAATTATAAACAAAATGAAAATTTAAAAATATTTTTGGATAACAACTTGAAATAAATAATATGATACAAAACTGGTCTCAATGTCCCCCAAAAAAATTATCAGACATTTATTTATAATTACATAAACAAATAATTTGACTTAGTCCATTAAATATAAAATATAATTTTATGTAACCAATATATTTTCAAAATGACAATTTTGTTAAAATTACAAAAATTTAAATTAATTTCAAGTTTTAATAAAACATCATGGTTGACGCAAGGTAATCCCACTGGGTATTGTGTGAATAAATTTCATACATGTGCACAGCTATATAATTATCGCAAATTGGAGTAAGTACAATTATCTTGACAGAAATATTAATATTGAGTTAATTTATTAGTTTAAATTGTTAAAATAAATATTTTGTAAATTATTATATAAGTTATTATAATAAAAATGATAATATTTAAGCTGTAATTAAATATTAGACAAATGATTTTATTAAATAAAATTTTTATTTTAGCTATATTTGGATTGGCTTTCAAATATCCTTATTCACGTTAAGTGTTATTAAATTATTTGTCCCTTTTTTATTAGACCACACGTAACTTTACCCTACTCATATTGTTACGGTCGGAGTGAGCTGGGTCTATCATATATACGATTGGCTGACCTGTTGTCAAATAGGGTACAAACGGGTAAAGTTTATATAATATTATTAATTATTTATTAAAAAACTATAAATTATTAAATTAAATTTGCTAGATGCAAATAAGCCAGCATTTGTGTCGGAATACGAGAATATAAGCAAAACATACGGTGAACTCAATGATGATGTCAATCGATTGGCTAAAGGGTTAATAGATCTAGGTGAATATTTTACAATTATTTATGTTAATGTTCCCTATCCGATTACTTGAAAAATGTAATAAAATGTTCAAGTAAATATAATTTATTTATTCAAATATTTTGTTATAAAAATAGTATTAACATTTAGAAACCTGTAACATTATAAATAAATAGTGAATAATATTTTAACAAATAAATTAATATAATATATTGGAGCCTGAAAACAATAATCTTAATATTTTTACCAAGGTCTTAACCGTGGTGATGTGGTTGGCTTATGGAGTTGTAATTCGTATTATTGGGTAACTTCAAAATTATTTTTAATAAATTAACTTGATTAATTTATAAATTCTTATTGATTTAATAATTTAGTCTCAAATACAATACGCGTGTGCCAGATTAGGATTAATACAATGCTCAATTAATCCGGCTTACCAGGCTGATGAATTGAATTATGTGCTCAGAAATGCCCAGGTTAAGGCACTGTTTATGCCAGGGGTGGGCAGTAAACAACAGGAATTTAATAAGTTTGGCCATGTTTTAAATAATGTTTTCAACATGGATGATACAGTATGTAACATAATTTTATTAACAAAAATAAGTATTTAAAACTAATTTAATTGTTATGTTTTGTAAGCTGTATATTTTTATAATAATTGACTTAACTTATTATTATAGTAAATTGAAAATTAAAATTTGGGTGACTATGGAGACAAATTTATTTTATATAATTAAGTTACATAATAATAATAGTTTATATTAATTTTTAAAGCAATAAGTATCAAAAGCAATTGATAAACATAAACATTTTTATCTTACATTGTTAGAAGGATCAGGATCCATTATTGTTAAAAAATATTATTACAATCGATGGTCAGCCTGCTCAAATAAATCAAAATAAAATTAAAATCTCTACTCATTTATTGAGTGAGTTAACTAATAATAATGGAGTGATTGAGCAGGGTATAATTGACAGTGTGTCACCAGATGATCCGGCTATTATAATGTTTACTTCCGTAAGTATACCAACTAAATTTTAAGTAATTTAAAATAATAAATTAGAATAATTGACCAGGGAACAACTGGAAAACCAAAAGGCGCCTATTTATCACATTTTACACTAGGTAATTTAAATTTATTTTTTAAAAAAATATAGTCTTTTTTCAATTTAAATAATATTTAATTTTACAGCAAATAATGCCAGGATTATTGCTAATGGTTATGACTTGGATACCACGGATAAAACATTTTGTGTGCCTGTACCATTTTTTCATACATTTGGTTTATTAGGCAACCTGGGCATTTGTGCATTCCCTATGGAAATGAGTATGTTTCATTTATTAATTTAAAATTTATTATAAACTTTAAAATATAGACAGTTTCTGGTGAATTCAATTATTAAATTAACTAAATAAACAATTAATTATTTTATTAATTACTTCAATATTTACAGTCTTTTTAAATTAAAATATTTTATTCTCTCTCTCTCTCTCTCTCTCTCTCTCTCTCTATTTTTCAATTATATTATATTCAGTAATAATTATTACATAATAACCCAATAGTTGTGGCGAATTATAAATATAACGTAAAACTAATCGTGGAGGCCATGAATAAGCACGAGTGCACCTACCTATACGGAACGCCTACTATGATCATCGATATACTGAACTATGTGGAAACAACCGGAAACACATTACCGACATTAAAAGGGTTGGTAACGGGTGGGTCACCAGTTCCTAAAGAAATGGCATACAGGGTGTTGAAAATAATACCCAATTGCACGGATGTAAGGGTAGCCTATGGTGCCACCGAAGCTGGTAAATTTGTCTTGATCAGATTATAAAATTATCTAGTATTATTAATGTGATTATATTGAATACTAAGTTATTATAGTTATATACAGTTCTTACTATATAATTATGATGATTATATTTTAAAATTAAATTTAAAATTTTATATTTCTACAGGGTCAGCCGGTACTATATCTTATCAGTCAGACACCTTGGTTAATCGTCTCGAGACAGTCGGTAATAATATAATTTAATTATACTTTAGTTGATATCTTATTTGTACAATAATAAGATAGCTCTAGATTAATTTGTTTATAGGTAGCAATAAATAGAAATAAATAATAATATAATAACTTTAATGTAACTAAACAAATTATTCAGTATAGAACAGTATATTATATTTTTAAAGACCAAGCTGTAATTTGATTAAAATTAATATATATGATTGTACAATTTATTTAATTAACAAATTAATAGCGACACAATGACGATTCCTTTAAACAATTTTTTAAAAATATGATTTTAATTTTGCAACATGTTAAATATAAATTTTACTTTAAATATTTTACTTTAAATACTTTAAATTTAAATATAAATTTTTAAAAATTTATTTATTTATTTATGCAGGTCACCCATTAGATCACATGGAAACTAAAATAGTTGACCCGGGTACCGGTAAAACTGTGTTGATTGGTGAGACAGGTCAGTGTGTAATTGTATTTAATATATTAAGTATTATTAACTTTTAAAACTTTTAAATATTACAAAATTTACACAGGTGAATTATTATCCCGTGGACACAATCAAATGATTGGCTATTGGAGAAATGAGAAAAGTACCCAGGCAGCCATTGATGACAAAATGTGGTACAAATCAGGGTATAATAAGTTTTATTATTTTAATGCAAGTGGCAAATAAATTGGTGAAACACACTGTATTTATAGTTAATTGAATGAAAAAACTGTTTTAACAACACTACTAATTAATGTCTTTTTTAAACTAATACTAATTATTTTTACAACGTTTAGTGACCTGGCTACAATGGATGAGCATGGTTTCATCAAAATTATAGGTCGCACTAAAGAGTTGATTATAAGAGGCGGCGAAAACATATACCCCCGAGAAGTGGAGGAATTGTTACACAAACACCCGGATATACTCGACGCATACGTCAGTATATTAAATGAAATCATCCAAAAATTTGTGTCAAGCAAAAATCTTAAATATAAAATATAAATATATTGATGTATAGGTGTGTGGGGTACCGGATGTTAGGCTCGGGGAGGAGGTCTGCGCATGGATTCAACTCAAGGATCCCAACAAAAAGCTTACGGAAGCCGAGATCCGGGAGTTTTGCAAACAACGGGTAATTTAATTATTTCATATCTAATAGACTGTAAATTATATTAAATATTTTTATTTTATTAAATTAAATATATAAAATAGAAATATTTGGAAGAAAGCATCAACTTCTTTTTATTCAGAAATTATTTTTATAATTGTATATTTAGATAACCTATTTTAAAGTACCCCGGTACGTGCTATTTGTGGACAGTTTCCCGTTAACACCGGCGGGTAAAGTGAAAAAGTTTGTGATGAGGGAACAGTCGTGTCGTATACTCGGGTTGAATGAAAAATAATTAATAATTAGTTATTAAATATTATAAACAAATACAAAATCTATGTTATTGTTAAGAATCAAGTTAATTAAAAAAAAGAATTACAATAAATTATTTTATCAATTATTTATTTTATTTAATAATCTAGTAACAATTTTATGCAATATTTTATCTGATTGTCTGTACCAAACATTAAGTACATTTTAAATATAAAATATCAAGGTCTGCTTATGATATCTAAATATTTATCAAATGTACTAAAATGTTTAAAATATTATCAACACCAAAAATATTATTTTTTGATAAAGATTTAATGGATACTATTATATTTATAAATAACATATAAAACAAGTATTTTCAAATTTAAAATTAATTTATATTATACATCATTTAATTTTTAATAAATTTGTGAAAATTATTTTCTAAATTACAAAAATCTATCTAGATTTGTATTAGTTACAATAACATTTAAAATGTCTATTTTATTAAAATTTTATAAACATATTATAAATGAAAATGTTATTAAACTATCATGGGTCACACATAATTGTACAAGTTTTAATAGAAGTGTACATTCTTATTCACATCAAGATAATTATCAGAAATTAGAGTAAGTATATTAATTTAAAATTACCTTGTTAATTTAGATGAGTAAATTAAAATAACCACAATTTTTTAGCCCCTATGTCAGTCTTCCCTATTCATATTGTTACGGTCGTAGTGATATGGGTTTATCGTATACTAGACTGGCTGATTTTTTAACCGAAAAGTCACAATCGCGTATTATATTTATTACCATGTTTGTTTAATAACCTGATTATACATTTACTTTGTTAGATGAAAATAAAACTGCATTTGTGTCGGAATACGAGAATATTAGTAAAACCTACGGCGAACTCAATGATGATGTTAACCGACTGGCTAAAGGGTTAATTAATCTTGGTGAGAATTATTTTACTATAATTTTTATACTATAATATTATAATTATATTTGAGTAATGTAAAAATATTTGGAATATAAATTATAGAATTAATTATTTTAGTATTAATAAATTGTTTTTGCACTTGTTTAATACGTTAATTATATAATCTTTTAAACTTTAAACAAGGTCTAAATCGCGGTGATGTGGTTGGATTATGGAGTTGCAATACATACTATTGGGTATATATTTTACTATTATTTACAGATATTTTAAATATGCTTAAAATTGTAGCCCCAAATACTATATGCGTGTGCCAGATTAGGATTAATACAATGCTCAATTAATCCGGCTTACCAGGCTGATGAATTGAATTATGTGCTAAGAAATGCCCAGGTTAAGGCTCTGTTTATGCCAGGGGTGGGCACTAAGCAACAAGACTTTAATAAATTTGGCGATGTTTTAAACTATGTTTTCCAACTGAATGATAAAGTATGTAGCATGAATATTATCTCAACATATCTTATAAAAATATAATTATAATTTGCATTAATAAATTGTTTGTTATAATAAATAGTAGTCATATTAACAAACTTCTGTGTTTATAATATTTATTGCGTTAATTAAGTTAACTGACCTATAAGTTATAAGTTAAATATTTATAGTAAAACTAAAATTAAAATCTAAATACCGTTAATGAATATTTTAAAATATTGTTTATAAACTGTTATATTATACTGTAAATTAAATTTTCATACTTTTATAACTTAAAATGACGTTATTGGCATACAAATGTATAAAGTAATTTTATAACAATATTTTTTTAAATATTAATTTTGTAATTTAGAATGAGCCCGATCAGCTACTCCTAACAAAACTTATTACAATCAATGGTGAACCGGGTCAAATTATAGACAATAAATTTAATATCTCTAAACATTTATTGACCGATTTAACAAATAATAACGGGGTAATCGACGATAATGTCATAAATTGTGTATCACCCGATGATCCGGCTATTATCATGTACACATCTGTATGTAAAATCATTATACTGTATATAATTTTAAATTGTAAATTTAATTCAACTATTAACAGGGTACTACAGGCAAACCAAAGGGCGCATATTTATCACATTTTACACTGGGTATAAAAAAACTTAATAAATATTTATTTATTTACCAGGTAATTAATTTAAAATTGATTTTTATACGCAAGCCAATAACGCTAGAATTGGTTCAAATTCATATGACCTCGATAAATCGGACAAAACATTTTGTGTACCTATACCATTTTTTCATACGTTTGGTTTGATAAGCACCATTGGCATGTGTTCATCAAATATGAAACTGGGTACATTTTAAAATCATTATTAATTAAAATTATTTAATAAATTAGGTACATGGAAATCAATTTATCTCTCTCTCCCTCTCTCTCTCTCTCTCTCTCTCTCTATTTTTCAATTATATTATATTCAGTAATAATTATTACATAATAACCCAATAGTTGTGTCTTGATCAGTCTCTCTCTCTCTCTCTCTCTCACTCACTCACTCATCAATGAAAGAAATATAATTTATTTTATAATCCAATAGTTATAGCGAATTATAAATACGATGTCCAACTAATCGTGAATGCCATAAACAAAAACGAGTGCACCTACCTACCGGGAACTCCTACTATGATCATCGATATAATGACCTATTTAGAGAAAACCGGACAACAGTTACTTAGTTTAAAGGGATTAATAATAGGTGGCGCTACGGTTCCCCGCGAGATGGCGTACCGGGTGCTAAAACTAATACCCAATTGCACGGATGTAAGGGTGGGATACGGGGCTACCGAAGCTGGTAATTTTACCCGTCACAAATTATTAATTAATATATTTTAATGGAAATTTATTGGATTTATATTTTTAATTTATTTCCACAGGTACGGCAGGGACTACGTCATATCAATCTGACACCCTGGTAAATCGCCTAGAGACTGTGGGTAATATAACATTTTTAAAAATTTGAATAACTAGGCAAAGATTTTTTAAATAAATTAATTTCCAATACTTTAATATAATGTAATTTAAGTATCATATAATTTATTTATAACAAATTAATGTTATGAAGATTTTATTGAAGCTTGGTATATTAAATTTACTTTTAAAATATAAACTAATTGTTTCAAAGTTTGGAATAGAAACCAGAACAATTTAACAACTATTAAATTTTACATAATAAACTTAATTTAATTTATTAGGTCGTCCTATAGATCACATGGAAACTAAAATTGTAGATCAAAGGACAGGTAAAACTGTATTAATTGGTGAGACAGGTCAGTATATTAATTTATAAATATTTTTTGATGACATTTATGAATTTGAAACTATAAATGCTAACCAGGTGAATTATTATCGCGAGGGCACAATCAGATGATAGGCTATTGGAGAAATGAGAAAGGCACACGCGATGCAATTGATAACAACAAGTGGTACAAATCAGGGTAATATTAATTTAAAAATTAATATATTGTTAAAACTTTTAATGCAATCTTAATAAACTGTAACAAAATATTATTGTTATGTTTTAATTATTAATTTATTTCATAATTATTCATTTGGATTTTCTAATCTGATTATTATTTTTTTAAATCTATAATTATTTTTACCATAGTGACCTGGCTACAATGGATGAGCATGGTTTCATCAAAATTATAGGTCGCACTAAAGAGTTGATTATAAGGGGCGGCGAAAACATATACCCCCGAGAAGTGGAGGAGTTGCTACACAAACACCCGGATATACTCGACGCATACGTTAGTATATTAAACAAACTTTTAACAAAATACCTAAAATTTACATTAATTTAAAGCTTCTATTATGTGATGTATAGGTGTGTGGAGTACCGGATGATAGGGTGGGCGAAGAGGTCTGCGCGTGGATTCAACTCAAGGATCCCAACAAAAAGCCTACGGAAGCCGAGATCCGGGAGTTTTGCAAACAACGGGTAAATTAGTTATGATTTCTCCATATTTAGTAAACTGTAAATTAAAACAAATAGTTTATTATGATAATACAAATATTCTTATTATTTCTTTTCTGGCGTGTCAACGGATTATCTTTTATATAATTAAACTGATAATATTATTTAAAATAAATTTAGATAACATACTTCAAAGTACCCCGGTTCGTGCTATTTGTGGACAGTTTCCCGTTAACACCGGCGGGTAAAGTGAAAAGGTTTGTGATGAGGGAACAGTCGTGTCGTATATTAGGGTTGAATGATAATTAATGTACATTAACAATTTTTTAATTAAATATAATTAATACAATAATTATTAAATAAATACAACTTATTACTTGTAAATTATATATTTTAAAAATATTTTTTCTTATAATTAGAGTGTAATAATAAATAGCAGATGTACTGTATCATTTAAACTAATAGCTGCTTTTATTTCTGAACATATTTAAGTCAATTTTTTTAAATAAAAATACCTGTTATTACATGGATTGTTAAAATATTTAATATTCTCATGATAAGTAAAAGTTAAATATTTATCAATTTATTTATATTGTCATAATCTATTGCATTCAAAATTGATAAATATTAAGAATTATAAATTTCATAATCTGTAACACTTTTATTATAAAACATAATGAATTAATAATAAACATGCAATTTTATTATACATTTCGAATGAATACCAATAAAATATTTGATTAATATACCGTATAATCTACAAAAAGGTCCAATGAAAATAAAATTAATATTTTTCACTATCTTACACATGTTAATAACTTATATAAAGGGACATTTTCATGAAAAATAAATTTAAAATTTTATTGCAATAGTGTTATATAAAAACTAATATTGGCAAAAGTAAATTTTCAAAAATGAGTGAGTACATAATTACAATTTTAATATACTGTATCTATTGTTACTTAATAAAAATAAATATTTATTATTTAAAGGTCTATATGGATCACTCATTTTTTAAGTTATGTGCCTGTTATTACCAAGTAACATTTGCTGCAAAATGAACTGAAATACCAGTTGACATACTTCAGCCATGTCGATATAGCGGCGATGGTAGTTTATCATGCGACAAA